TTTCATGAGGAAGAACAGTTAAGATCTGAGAATCTATGTGAGACTGTGGAAGCCAAACCTGACTCAGAACCTTGGCTGAGAGAACATTTGAAGGCAGAGCCACAGAAGCGTTTCCTAACCTTCCTTGGATGGTTTAGTGTGTAGGTGATTCTTCTGCAAATTTGAAGAACAATTAAGAATCATTAGTAGCAGCATATGTATACACATGTACATATAGAGAGAACAAATGTAGACTAAGAATATTTTATCTTATCCCTGGATGATTATTAAAAGAATAAGATCTTTAGTTGGCTGTAATAGTCAAAGCATATTTTTTTTTTTTTGCATCCTAGCTTAAATCCTCCTTATATTGTAGTGTTGTCACTGCATTTCCATGAAAGCCAGTGAAGTAGGAGGAAACTGAAGAGGACAGTCTTCATTTTGAGGTGGAAGATGCATTTATGTTAGCCCTAGAGGTGATCAGGTCCCCAGCAGCACAAGGAGGCTGGAGGGCACAGCTGAACACCTCGACATCACAGGGTACTCCCTGTCTTCTCATTCCATTCCGGATTCCTTTGCCAGGAGTCATCTTTGCCTAGCTCCTGTCTGATGCAATTGTGTTTCTGGGAGGGGAGGATTTACCCTTGGCAGAGGCTAGGTTGGTCACCCCATGCTCATGCACTTCATAGAATGGCTTCAGTTTCAATCCCTCGATGGTTTTGTCACCTCCCATATATCAGAAGCTGGACCTGCAGGAAAGATATTATAGTCAGGATACCTGAGCCATCTGTCTTCAAAACGTGAGAAGTTCTACCTCACTGCTTCACTCGCTTCCACGGTGTTTCCTTTTACATCATCAGAGAGGCAGAATCTGTCACTGGCCAGGAAGCTGGAGCAGCTGGCCAGACAGAGTGGCTCGTGGAGAGGCACCTCTCCCAGGCAGCCCCTTTAGGGTGTGTGATTTTTCCGTACTGTCAGCAAATTAACTGTGGGAGACTGGGAAGCGGACATTTTTTAATATGTGAAAAATCAGATTTCTTTGAGAATGAATGATCCATTCTCAGTGGGCCACAAGCACTTTCTTCATAAAAACTAGATTTTATTTTAGTTTCCTTTTTGCCTCCTCATTTAAAATTCACTTAGGGTCTGAAAAAGAATAGAGCTTACAAAGCGGGCTCTACTATCACTGATTACCTGGGACCACCAGTTCTGTAGTTAGAGTTAAAGAATGCTTCTTGGTTGCTGGCTTTAGTAGCAGAGCATCCTGTCTGTACTGGCCAGGCATTGGTTATTACACCATTCCCGCTGAAATATTTACCAGCACCTGCGGGGCACAAGGCTGTGGGATGGGTTGCAGCACAACTCTGGTGTCTGAGGGTGATGTTGTATAACTGTCCCCAGGAGGACTTGGAAAGACCTGGAGACATGCAAGAAAAGGTGATTAGGAATGCAACAAACCAAGGAAGCCAGGCAACAGACCACCCAGGCAAGTTCACCAGTTCCCTGAAATTGGTCATGGCCACAAAATAGAAACGGCCCGTAAGCCTTTGAGTGTCAGGGAATTGAGGGGCGATGTGGGGCAGAAGGGGGTGTCCCAGAATGAGAAGAGGTGCCCTGGTACTTACACAGTCAAAGCAGCTTGCACATACTGCCTTGAAGATGATTGGATCTGACTGCGATTAATCAAATATTATGGCTAACCAAAAATAAAAAAATAAAAATAAAAAGGAACTAGTGATTGGATCCTATCGCCTTCTCACCTTCCTGTTGAACACACTTTCAGCTCTGGATTCCTAAGGAACGGTGTCAGCTGCTGAGGGTGGCAGAGCTCCAGGCCAGCCGAACGGGAACCTGGCCGTGGGACGCCCACGGGCCACTGGGGGTCTGTGTGGCAGAAGCATAGCTTTCCCTAGGGCCTTCACAGCAGAGATGGTCCCCCACGGGGATCTTGAACTTGGTTTTTACAAGCCCTGAACAGTAGGCAGTGTTGCTCAGAAGCTGTGAACCACTATGATGAGGACCTATTATCTACACAAGGCTCCTGATGCGTGTGCACGTCCTGGGCCTCAAACCTGCAGCCGATGAGGCTTGGAGACCTTGAGCCTGCCTTTTCAGCCCGGGCCCACTGTTTACTACCCTCAGCAAGACTTCCTAGAGCATCTGTTAATGGACAGGATTCTTGCAAACACTTCTCAGCGGATAAGTGACACAGTTAATACAGGGTCCCTGATCTCTATCAGAATAGGTAATGTGCTCTGCCAGCAGCCATTGGCTCCTCACAGAAGCCAGCTCTGGGTTTATTATCCCTACAGTTAGAGCGTATATGTGAAGAGGTTGAGAAGGAGAGCAAGATGAAGTAACACATAAATAAATTTGGAAGACACTTTGAAGTGATTTTTCAAATCACTAGATGCAGTGGAATTGTTATCTTCCCTAACTTTGGAGTTGGGGATGGCTGCGCGCTATGAGGCCTGATTGGCTATCCCCGATTATGACACTGGCAGTCCCCGATTATGACACTGGCTGGCTATCCCCGAGAATGACACACGCTTAAGTGTGACAGAACTTAAAGCCAATGAAAACAACAGTGAGCTCACTTTTTAGCTGCTTTGTTTAAGATGGCTAATTTCAATTCTGTTCTCATCACAGATTATCATTTATTATGCTTACATTTCAAACATGAGGCCTTGGAGAGTGTACTACTTGGCCATGAGGCAGCGGAGTTCTAGAAAATTAGATAATTTTGAAACATGAACCAAAGCCTGTTTGGCTGACATACAGATGGGCTGTGCCCTGTGCTGAGGAGGATAAATATAGAGTCTGAAATGCTAAAGAGACAACTGGAATATTTTCCTCTCATCCTCTCCCATAGTGACCTGGTAGAGTGGGCTGCTCTCTGCCCCTCCCTTCTGACACTTGGCTCTGGTTCTGTCCTTTCCCTGTCCCTTTTCTGGGCCTGGGATATAAGGCATTGCCTGTAAGGGAATATATTGGTTTGCACCTGCTGCCATCACCATATACAGAGTGGCTTACACAACGGGTATTTAAGTTCTCTGGTCTGGATGCTGGAATTCTAAAAGCTAGGGCTTAGCAGAGTTGAGGACTTTCTCCGAGACTCCCAGAGGACCATCTTCCCCAGATGTCACATGATTTCTCCTCTGTGCACCTCTACATCCTTATCCCTTCTTATAAGTGCACCAGTTGGGGTGGACTGTGTTCACACCCATTACATCATTTTATCTTCACTGAACCTGTTTCCAGTCCCTGTCTCCATATACAGCCATGTTCCAAAGTATGGAGGATTGGTGCTTCAACCTCTGGATTTGCAGAGGACACGGTTCAGATCTAAGGGATGCATTCTGTCAGGAAAGAGACATGCTGAATAGTTTGTGTAGGGGCCAGTGTCATCTGCTCTGCTCCATAGAAACATTCCAGCATCTGGCCTGATGTGAACAGCTGCTTGGCCACTCAAACTTGGGCAGAGAATCTCCTCTCCTAGCAAAACTTGATTGTAGCAGAATTGAAGTGCTTCTGTCTCTTTCTTGACTTAATCCTAACCATCTAAAGTGAGTACAAAGTAGATGTTATCTCCCTTCTGCAAAACAGGAAGTAGACACACTGGAGCCTAGCTCCTGAACTGATCCTGGGCAGCTTTCTCCCCTCATGTGGCCTGGGCCTCAGTGTTCTGACCTAGGGCTCCCACTATGTTGGAGTGGATCAGGATAAGTTGGTCGCCCTGGGCCATTCATTTGCAATTTACCTTCCTAAGCCACACTCATTTCCCAAGATAGTCTGTCTTCATGATTTGAAGTGCTTATGAGTTTGCCCATCTGCTAAAATGCATTTTTTCAGCCATTCATGTACCTATATAGAGTCCTCGAACTTTTGTCAACCTACTGATATGATCCCAGCTGACACCCAACAAGACCACTTTGACCTTCTTGTTTCCTTTTTGACTATACTCAAGTGTCCTTTTCCCAGCCTGTCTAGTGCCTCATTTTTCTGCATTGTATTTTCATTGATGGAATTTGGTCTAAATAAGCCACATGTAGTGGTGACAAGGGGCAGAGAAGAAATGCCACTTTTAGCAACACAAGTTAGTGTGCTCCCGTTGCATTGAGCAACACAAGGTGATCTCCAGAAGTTTCTGTCTAATAGGCTTAGCAAATCAAAATTAGCACCGTAATATCCATTATTAGAACTTAAGATGTAGAAAGCCCATTGGTAGTCTCCTAGGTATACTAGCTTTTGTTCTATTTGATAAAAAATTTAATGTTTAAATGTTTGGCATTACCATCAAATGAATGTTGTCAGAGAAAATCACACATTTTATTGGGCATGACACCACGTTTAACACATAATTAGATTGTAAGAATTTTTTTTTTTTTGGTAATTGTTTGGTTTTATTCATGTTAAAACAATGAGAAATTTCTTAGTATCTCCCCTTTATCATGAAAGATCCCGAGTTTTGTATAGGTGAACTCATTTCACCCATCCAGATGTTTTCCATCGGCAGCCATTCTTCCTCCCCTTTGGTGGATAAGGACGCTGAGACTCAGGACAGAACACTTGCCAAGATCTCTGGCATTTGCAGAGCTGATGTTTAAATCCCAGGCTCGCTGGTGTCACAGCTTGAGCTCTTTACTCTCCCTGTCATCATGGACAAGAAGAATTACTCTCTTCTGTGAAGCAATACATAGCTCATCTCATCTCATTCACTGTCTGTTTTAGAACATTATTTTAGCTAAAATTGATATGGCTCCTGTGGTGAAATTAATTCTGAAAATATTCCCTGGTTTCGTTTCATGGGGAACAGTACACATTGTCTTAACCACCAACTCTCTGTGAAGATTTATGTGGCTGCTTGTGATTGGAGTGATCTTTCTATGTGATGGGGTCACAGAGAGCAGACATGTGTCCTTCTAGTCTTTTCCGAGGATATGGCATTTTTTGAGGGCCTGGTGCTCAGCCTTCAGAATGACCAAAGTCCCCCAGAAACCTCACTCTGTGCTTCTTTCCAGAAAATCACTCTGCACCTCCTGACGTAACCACATACACCTCAGAGCACTCAATACAAGTGGAAAGGCCACAGGGCTCGACAACGTCTCGGACAGCACCAAAGTACGGCAATGCTGAGCTCATGGAAACCGGAGACGGTAGGGCTTGCAGCGAGCACGTGTGCTCTTTGTGAACTGTCTGCGGACTGCCCTCTCTGTGTGCAGGCTTGTTCTTCCAGATACATAGTCAGGCACCGAATCTCGCTCATCACATTCCTCACGAACCTTCCACAGAAGGTGGCCTAACCAAATGAAATGCAAATTCTTTCCAAGTTGCCCAAGAAGTTATTTTTCAGGGAAAAAAATGCAAATGTTGCAAAAACATAACATAAGAGGAAGAAATTTTATAAGAAGCTGATGTGTTTGCTGAATACTCTTGCTGGTTGAATAATTATGAGATTACAGCACAAAGGTTAAGACCATTAATGGTTTTTTAGATGTGTTTCTAAATCAGAATAATTGACAGATATGGGTAGTATAGTGGTTTAAACTTTGGAAGAAAGAAGGTCTGTTTTATTTTCCTCCAAACAGGACAGTGTTTTTGTTGGCTTGGTAAAACACCTCATTGGAAGGATTCCCTGCTGTGTCTCATGGGTTTTTAAACTTGGTCTGCTGTGATTGCAGTGATCTCTTCCACCACTCACTGTCAGACCAATGAGACCTGGACACGGAGTACTGCCATATTCTGCTTTTCTGTATCCATCCTGGCCAGTGTCCTGAAAGCTAGACTAGAATCAGCATTAAAATTAAACTGAATTTTGTTGTTATTGTTCTGTTATTATTATTATTTTGTTGACACTGTGCAGCCCAGGCTGGCCTGGGATTCTTCCTCTTGAATCCTGAGATTATAGGTGTATAGCACCATGCCAGGTCCTCAAATGGTTTTTATTGTTATATTAATAAGATGAACAAAATTATCTCAATGTGCCATTCAGATTCGCTTTGTTTATTGATGTTTTTATGATGCTTGTGTATCATAGAATAGATACATGTGTATATCTGTTAAATAGAAATTCAATTATGAATTCAGTCTGTAAGAGGTAGCATACTCTCTTCAATATGGTCAAAACCCAAAAGTCACTAGTTCATGAGTGATCCAGCACATACAGCGGAAGCCATTCCAGCTTCTAATACAATTGGCCTTCCTCCAATGCTTTTGTAATTTCCTTTATTCTCTCATAAACTCACTGTTTATTGAATTAGACATTGTTGTTCATCTTGTCATCATTTTAATAACTTGTCATCTTTGAAGTCCATCATTGTCAGCTTTGTTTTCCTAGGTAAATTCCAAGTTATGTGCAATCGTAGATGGTCAGGTGTCTCTTGGTATTTGACACCCCCACACCAGATTCACATGGGAGCCCATGTAGTTGCAGATTCTAGACCATACCAAAGCCATACCAAAGTGGGTCAGAAGTCCAGGGATAGCCCAAGGATGATTCTTACAAATTCTAAAGTAGGATTCAGAACCACTGCCTTGCAGAATGATTGATCTTGATCCATTCGAATCAAATGAAGTGAAACTATTTAATAGGCAAATAGTATGTTCATATACTGAGAATTCTGAGTTACACTTTTTTCACCGTATTTTCAAAACTATAAAATATTTTTCAATTCTGAGAGCCCTCAGTAGACAGTGTGAAGATTGTGTATTGATTTTTAGAAATCTGATAGGAAATTTTTCTTAAGCTCTGACCTATTTCTTCCCAAATGTGCATCTTCCGGCTGTGGCATTCTGTCTACCCCACGGTTCCTGTTTTTTCAGGAGTACCAGTAAGTAGCCGGGTATCAGCAAAAATTCAGCAGCTTGTCAACACCCTCAAACGACCTAAACGACCACCATTACGAGAGTTCTTTGTCGATGACTTTGAAGAATTGTTAGAAGGTAAAAGAACCTTTTCCATCCCTGTTTCTTTCAGCTATTCCTATGATCCCAAGAACAATCCAGCTTTTTTTTTTTTAAACGTTTACTTGTTTAAGAGCAATAATCCTGCCTTCCTTGAATGATGGAAGTCTCGACCCGGGAGTTGAGGTGCTGTTCCCAGATGCACCCCTGAAAGATGTAACCTGCATCAAGTGCTGCTCTCTTAGCAGAATGTGATTTTGCTCTATGAGCAAGGCCTCTCTTTAAGGGCTCACTAAGATTAAAGCAACACTAAATGAAATTCTAGGAACCCTCACCTCAACACAGAGCTGCGGTCTCTGTACGAGCTGTGAAGAGGACTGCAGAGGAAACCGATGCCTGATTCTGCTGTGCTCCTCTGGGTCTCGCAGCATAGAGCTGGTGGCCTCGCCTGGAGTGCTGGGGAGCCTTGTAACCCAAAGTCAAAGCCAAGTAGACAAGCCACCGGCTGCCTCACACCCACACTCCTCCTTGTTTTCTTCTTTGTGAAAACCACTGTAAGACAGTCGGTCTTCCAGCAGCAGGTGGAAATGGTCAGCCAGTCACAGACTGTGAGCGAGAAACCCATCATCGGGAGAAATGATTTCAGTTCCTCGCCTGCCTGAACTAAAGGCTGAGAAAGATTCTGCTCCATGATGATGGACATAAACTACATTAAAATAAAATGAAACTGCTGCTTTAGTTTTACTTAAAATAGTACTTGCTCTGTGATCTTTTTATTCAGAGTAGTCATAGGAAATACGTAGCTACATCTAAGCGCTTGAGGGCAAAACATAAACATGCAAGATTGGAGCTCTTTGAAGTTCAGAATTTTACTGTTTTTGGTTATCGAGATTTTTACATTGAAATACTAGACCGTGCACATAGGAGTTTGCCTCTTATCAGTTTATAGGTGAACTTGTGTCCTCCTAAGTTCTCCTTGCCATCTTGCCTTGGAGTTCCAAGAATGAAGTGTTTCCATCACATCTGTGAACTTAGTATAGGAATCATGACTTTGATTCCAGAGAAGTGTCTTTTCTGTCAGCTAATAAAGTTATAAATATGAGTATTAATATGACTATATTTTTTCTTGAAAATTTTTTGTATTCATATGTATGTAGTTCAACAACCAGATCCCAACCAACCAAAGCCGGAGGGTGCGCAGATGCTGGCCATGCGAGGGGAGCAGCTGGGGGTGGTCACGAACTGGCCGCCCTCCCTGGAGGCTGCTCTGCAGCGCTGGGGAACCATCTCACCCAAGGCTCCCTGTCTGACCACCATGGACACAAATGGGAAGCCCCTCTACATCCTCACCTATGGTAAGCCGAAAAGGTCACCAGCAGCAGTTCTGAAAGGTCTGTCCCTCCCGCTCATTTGCTTACTCCTGCACAAAATTGCTGCTGAGTGTAAAGAAGGTCCATGTCTCCCAGGGTGCCTCCTCTGTTTGCACTGCTTGACATGTAGGAATTCATGGTGTTTCTGTGCCATTGATGGAGTCTACAGGAGTGTTTCAGGAAGATTATTTGGTGTCCGTGTAGAAATTATTACTTGTTTGGGTTTTTTTTCCTAACATGAAACTAGAAATAGGTACTTAAAACGGTGATCCAAACTCCAATAAGATACTAAATTCTGCTTCTTGAATACAAATATATGATTTTCTTGAAATACTTTCAGCAAGGACTGGTAGAGAATGCATTTCTATATTCTTTGGCATGAGTTTGAGTCATACTTCTGACACCATCCTCAATACCATAACCCAAAATGCTGAAAATAAAAGATCAAAATTTCTAAAATCCAAAACACAAGAAGATCAAACCCCCAAAATATGATTCTGAAAACTATCGTTTGATTTCTTTAAAAGCCATCTATTTATATTTTCAAGAGGCAATTTATTTAAGAAAAGTTTGCTGAACATTTCACAGACCACTTTATACAGTGATATAGACAATCAGATACATATTTTTGCAAGCACAAATGCTCAGGTTTGCTTGAGGCAGGCAGACAAGTTTAAAAGCTCTTAGAAGTGAACTGTGTTCATCAGAACAACGTGGGAAAGAAGGCACAGGGTATATGTGTGCATCACTGCGTCTGGTGAACTTGTGTGTCCAGCTTTGTAACCGTGATAGCCTAAAATACCACAATGGGCAGCAACAGCAATTGGGCCTTTTGACAAGTTAAAACAAAAGCTGTGTTGGATCACTACCCCATTTACAGTTGCATGAAGAGCACAAATCTCTCACACAAATGCAGGTGTTCAAAAAGGACATCTCTTCACCTGAAGCAGTTTTGACCTTGTCACACACACACACACACACACACACACACACACACACACACAATGCGGACATAAACCAATTGTAATCATAATCCACTTGTGAGAGCCACATTAGCATAATAAAAACATGGATAAATTAGAACACTCTCTTAAAGTCAGTACTAGAAATGACACACAGATTAAATATATAACGTAGGAAAATTATAAAGAAGAATGATGACAATTGAAAATAGTGGGAATACTAAACTAGCCTGGGAGCACCCTCTCCCCCTCCCCCCAAGAGTCCTTCCAGGGGACTTCGGGAATCTGGAGGCTGGTAAGCTTGAAATTCTGGATAGGGTAGGTTGCGTGTGTGTGTGTGTGTGTGTGTGTGTGTGTGTGTGTGTGTGTGTGTGTGTGTGTGTGTGTGTGTGTTTTCATGGGATTGAATTTGGGACATTGTTGTGTGCTAGGCTAATGCTTTGTCACTGAGCTACATACAGCCTGAGCTCAGAATTCTGATATCCAGTGCAGTTGAGAAAAACTATGTTCCAACTTTCAGAGAAGCTCACCTTCTGCCTGAACCCCTAACTGGTTGAATGTACCTCTCTGTGTTGAGGGGTCCCTGCCTCACCTAACACTCATCTCTGGAGACAACTTCTCAGACAACCCAAACGATGCTTGAGCAGATTTCGAGGCATTTGTCCTGCATTCACCCTGCACGCCATGATGCAAACGAAAACCCGCCAGTTCCTTCCCCTAAGTCGGCTTCTCAGCCCTCTTACATAGGCCTTTACCCCTTGCCATGGGAGTTGCAGTTTCCAGAATTTGAGCTTTCAAAATTTCAACACTTGGGGGACTTTTTAAAGTCTTCCAGATTATGATTTTAGGAGGATTTTAGACTCCAGAGGTTTTGCTTTTTCAGGATTTCAACATTCAGGATTATAGTACTGAGGATTATGAATTATTATTGGCATCTATGAGAAGAAAAGCTACATCTACAATTCTGTTTCAGAAAGCCAGAGAAACAAGCACTCCTTAATACTTTGCATACCCATGAGCTTTCGCAAGTTGGTAGCTACAGCAGAGAGGTGCCTTTGCCTTTGTTCCACCACCATGGAGAGAGCAGATTTTCCAGTTATTTGCATACTGTCGACTTCAGCATTGCAAAGAGACCAACTTACGAGCTAAAACAATGGAAAGACTCTCTTTACATGTGCTGTGTAAGGTTAGGTGACCTTTTTCCTAACTTAGTTTTTACGCAAGGTTGAACTCAGCACTTTGCACTTAGTAGGTGGGCTCTCCACCACTTGAGCCTTTGTTGATTCAGTAATTTTTTAGATAGTGTCTCACATGTATGCCTGACTGGCCTTGGCCTATGTGTGCTTCCTTAGGACAGGCGTAGAGCACTGTGCCAACTTATTACTGATTGTGACTGAGTCTTGTGAACTTTTTGCTCCTCCCAACGCTAACTCTGAAGTACCCTCCTTAGTGTTGTTTATGTAACACATACACTCTTCTGATTGCAAGTGGAGAAGAAATCGCTTTCTGTATTGGCCGTCAAGGTTAAGAGCCAGACATCATGGGATTCAGAAGGGTTTGGCCTTCTGATGGGGCTGTGCCAGCTGTGCCAGCTGTGGACATAAGCATCCCTAGATGGCAGTGGAATGTTGGCTTAGGAGCCTTTTTGAGTTTGGGATCAGATGCTTCATGGCCCGATTGTTGTTCATGGCTTCCTTTGGTAGTTTCACGTGCAAAGAGAATGTCATTTGTGATCAAGAATATGCTTGAGTTCCTTTTTCTCTGTGCCTTTCACACCTGGTCAATGTATGCTTGAGGCTGGCTGTGTACTTGTGCCATTGTTTCTGGACTTTACTGCCTCATATGTGGGAAATCTTAAGGGACAACTTGCCTGCATGTATGAGCATATATATTCTTTCTGATGGCCAGTTAAATGTTCTCTAAGATGAGTAAAATATAACACATAAAAAACTGGCACATTACGCAGGTTTGGGAAATCAACATTATAAGACAGTTTTCAAGAAGGGTACAAGTTTAAAATCTAAGTAGGAGTGTAGCCCCTCTCTGTTGATGGACTTTTGAACAAATTAGTGGTATTCTCTCTCTCTTATTCTCTTTCTTTTCCTCTCTCTCCTGTTTTTCTTTCCTGTTTCTCTGTCCTGTCTTTTGCTCTCTCGTAAAGCTAATATGAGGTTGATGAACAAGACTGTGCACTGCCTACAACTGAAACATTTCTACTTCACTTACATCATCTGTATTTTATTGAAAATTAGCTTTGATATGAGTTTCTGGTGATACTAGCTTTAAGACTCTTGGCTGAGAGAGAAGTTGAAGCTTAAACAAACTATAACAGTGCTGGGCTGGGTGAGGTGGAATATACTTGGAATCCCAGCTTCCCTGGAGGTGAAAGTAGGAAAGTCACCACGATTAGAAGTTAGTCTCAGGCAAAATGTGAAATCCTACATAGAAAAAATAGCTTTAAAAGTGCTAGGAACCAGCTCAAGAGATAGTCCCTGCCTAATAAGCACAAGCCCTGAATTCAAACCCAGTACTGCCAAAATAAAAACTATAATGGTGCTATTGTTTGCAACTGATTTGTTCATTTGTAATCCATTGATAGTTTTTCAGTTCTAATTGTTTAATTTTCGTAGTCTGTGGTATTGACTACATTAAAGAATTTTGAAGGCACAAAATGTTTAGGGGAGAAAAATCACTCCCCGGGTTATTTCTAATAGAGTGACTATTGTTTATAGGGAAAGAAATATAATCCCCAAATAAAATTTCAAATGACTTTGGAGCATCCAGCTTTGAAGAACTACATTGTTAAATTTACAAGTTAAAAAACATGAGCTGGGAGCCAGTGGCTCATGCCTGTAATCCTAGCTACTCAGGAGGCTGATATCTGAGTATCGAGGTTCAAAGCCAGCGGGGAAGAAAAGTCCCTGTGAGACTCTTATTTCCAATAAACTACTCAAAAACTGGAAGTAGTGCTGTGGCTCAAAGTGGTAGAACGCTCACCTTGAGAACAAAAAGGGGCTCTGGGACAGTGCCCAAGCCCTGAGTTCAAGCCTCATAGCTGACAAAAATTGGCCGGGGGGGGGGGGGGGGGGAGGGGGGAGGGGAGACAATAACTTACCTATGATGCTAATAAAACCAAGACATTCATTGAGGACATACCATCAACTAGGAATTGTCTTAGGAAATTAGAGCAATTAAAGATAAAGCATTGCCTGCTCTTGAATGCAAATCGATGAACCTCTGATGGGTTATTAATAACAGCACTGCTTTGGGTAGCTGCAATTTCTATGGAAAACTTTTTTATTTCAACTTTTTATAATAAGGAAACAATTAAAATAATGATTGCATTAAGATAGAAAATAACTAGAGTTGCTCTTTGTTATTACATTATGATAACACCTATCACCTTGGCTCCCTGAACAGCTCTTAGCAGCTGAGTTTCTGAGACTCGATTGTAAAAGGCCTTTATGTATTCAAGAACACCTTTTAGATTTGAAATCATTTTATTCCATCTTAGACTGTTCACCATCACCTGAATAAGGAAATGTCTGGCTGTACGTTTAGGCAAGGATTTTGAAATGTGCAAGTCCTTTGGGGCTTTTTTTTCCCCTAAGCTTTTAAAAAACATAGAAAATCTAAAGTTTAAAACTCCATATGAAAAGTTTTAAAATTTTCTTTTTAAATCCTACTTTATGGTAATTTTTCTAGAATTCATGTTAAAATAATCCCAAATGTTTGCCATTATCTTTATCTAAACCCAAGGATTCCTTTTCCAAAACTCCCAGACCTTGAGGTTAGAAAAGCCTGATGCTGAAAAACGTAGGCCCTGGAGAGAAGGAGAGATCAGGCTTTGGAATGACCAGTAAGGACCATGTTAGCATTCTTTGCAATTACAGTAGACAGGGAAAATTAAAAAAGGAATTATAAATAATAATAAAGATCTTACCCATGACTCCTGGGATGAAAATGATAGATCATCTGTGGCTTTGCTGTAGGTACTCTGCATGCTAGCCGGGATTCTGCCCAGAACCGGGACCTCGTTCATAGGTTCAGGCTTCTCAGAATGTATGAGTCAAGAGTTGTTGGCTCCTGTTTCCTATCTCAATTCCAGGAACTTGGAATAAGTTGAAGGCTTAGAGTGGAAAAAAAGCTTTGGGTAAACTCCATCCCTGAAGAGCATCCTCTAACACCCCCTCCCTCCCAGGCTAGCAGAAGACAGACTAGAGCTGGGTTTCTATTTTTATTTCTTTTGAAACTTTACTTTTAGAAACCTCTACTTCCGTATTTTGGGGATATTTTGGTTTCTAGTCTAGCCAGATTGTTCCTTTTTTCTTAATAGTTACATGTGTTAGAGTTCCCTGCAAGGGGGGGGGAGGGGCATGCATAGCAGAAGCAAATAGCTATACTGACTAAACTTTCAGTTAAGAGAATACTTTCTATTAATGTACCCATGTGCGTGTAACCGAAAATGCATGTGTGCAATGGTAAAAATCTCGTGTCTTTATACTATGTATTCACAGGCAAACTGTGGACACGAAGTATGAAGGTTGCTTACAATATTCTACACAAACTAGGTACAAAGCAAGAACCCATGGTTCGGCCGGGAGACAGGGTAAGTACTACTGTTTAAACTCTCCGATCTGCATAATGCAGTGCTGTGTGGAAAATGTCTCTTTTAAAATCCCAGCATTCCATCCCTTTTCTTGTTTCCTATTGTGTATGGCTTCCTTCACTTTTGAAGCAGGAGTAAAGGCATATATCACTTCACTTAACTTCCCAGCAACTCAGTGAGCAGTGCTGTAGTTTTTCTCTTTGTGTTATACACCCAGGACACCCAAGCTTCAAAGGTGCTAAGTGTCTTACCAGATGAAGGCACTGACCCAGAGAGGCACCACCAGTCACTCCTGTCAGCGTGCAAACCCTTGCTGTACCAGCCACTGTCATAGGTCCTAGTTTTTCCCCTAGTCTGAAATGCACTGGTGCCATCCACCTGGGCAGCAGGACAATATTTACAGTGCCTTTTACCTCAGTCAATGAGATAGACAGATCTGGCCAGCCAACCAGTGGCATAGTTGTTTTCCCACAGTTAACTCTTTTTTTATTTTTTTTAATCTTGTTTTTTTTTTTTAATATATTTTTATTATCTTTTAAGTAGTTGTATAAAGGGGTTGCCACTTAAAGCAGTTTTTGAATACAACTCTTACACTCTCATCTTCTATAGTCAAACAAAGTTTTAATTTGCTTCTTAGAGCAAAATGGGTAAATTAAAGAGGTTAGGTGTTAATATTTCTGTTTCCATGTTTTATCTGAGCAATTACTAACTCTATCCAAGCTTTATATCCTGATTTAGATGTAGAATTTGCTGTAAAACCTAATTTTCTTCTCTTCAAACATATACCTTTTCTTCTACTTCTGTGTATCTTAAATGACTAGATGTACCCTGGTTCTTGCTGTTCAAAAGAAAACTGCTCGAGTAGTCTATGAAAGCCCCAGGTTAGAGCACCAAAAATCAATAAGAAATTAGCTTTGACTTACCTAAGAGAGATAATAAAGACACTGGACTATAAGGGGAATTTTTACAGATTGCTGCATCTCCAAGATAGTGTGGTGGACTGTGAATCCTCTCCCTCCGTCCCTTCCTTCCTCCTCCCCTCCCTCATGGTTATGCAGTATGTCAAAGACCACTCCAAACTCTTCACAAATGTGGTCATTTGACCTTTATCATAATACTAAGGTGCACTTTTCTATCATTGTTTTCAGTATTCAGATAAGAAAACGAAGGCTGAGAGACCAAAATCGTGCACCAGGGCCCAGAGCTAAAAATTGGCATAGGAATTGGGTCCTTTCTGGTCTGATCCCAGGCTGTCTGGAGGTCACCTGCTGGCCATTTGTACAACCATTCCATTACAGATCTGAGGACTATATTGAAATGCGACACTATTTATGAAGCTTAGAGAAAACAATAAACAAAATAATGCATCTACTGGGATTTCATCTCTGTAAATATTATGTGGACATGAAAGTAGCAGCCCCTGTATTGTGGTAACAGCATTATAGATGACTCTGGTTAATATTCACCATCCACATATAATCTGTGAAGTACTTGATCAGATTCCTCTTACTAAAAGGTGTTTGGCATAGAGCACATCATTCTTTTTCCAGCTTCTTCCTTATTCAGAATTTTAATCCTGCCATCTTTTGGTGGGTGAACCCTGCTGGCCATTTGTACAACCATTCCATTACAGATCTGAGGACTATATTGAAATGCGACACTATTTATGAAGCTTAGAGAAAACAATAAACAAAATAATGCATCTACTGGGATTTCATCTCTGTAAATATTATGTGGACATGAAAGTAGCAGCCCCTGTATTGTGGTAACAGCATTATAGATGACTCTGGTTAATATTCACCATCCACATATAATCTGTGAAGTACTTGATCAGATTCCTCTTACTAAAAGGTGTTTGGCATAGAGCACATCATTCTTTTTCCAGCTTCTTCCTTATTCAGAATTTTAATCCTGCCATCTTTTGGTGGGTGAACCCTGTACTAGGTCTTGGAAAGTTGACCTGGAGTTTATGTTGAAATGTCTATGTGTGGTCTGTCCCTGCAGGTGGCGCTGGTGTTCCCCAACAACGACCCTGCTGCCTTCATGGTGGCCTTCTATGGCTGCCTGCTGGCGGAAGTTGTTCCTGTGCCCATCGAAGTGCCACTCACAAGGAAGGTAAGGAGCTGTGTGTCCTTACAGCCCTCGGGGTCAGGTGGCAGGTTTGGTGGCCACTGGGGGCTCTGTTAGATAAGAATGTGCTGACAGCAGTTTTTACAATGGTTGTGCCTCTCAACTAGATGTGGATGGAGAGGGGCTGAGCCTGTGGACTGGTTTTCTACCGTAAAGGAAGCAGTTAATCACGCCCAGCACAGCTCCACTGTGGGTGTGCAGCTCCTGGAGGTAGAGTTCAAGTTTACTTGGTAGCAGGATACAGAGCTGTCTGTAAGAGTAACTGTCTCACGCATAGTCTCCTGTGCATTAGAATACCAGGCAGATGATTATCTGTTTTAAATTTTTATTATTCTCATTTTTTTTTCTGCTGTGAGTGAGGCTTGATCAGTTTATCTGTGATTTGTCAGCTCCTACCCTGCATTTAAATAACCAGCCTGTGGTGAGGTCAGTGAGGGAGAAGTATAGCTCTGAGGTGAGTTAGCTCACAGCTGACTGCAGAAACCACGGAAACTGGGCTGGCTATGCCAGGACATCCAAAACCTTTCCTGAAACCAGCAAAGCGAGCCACGCACGGACCACATTGAGCAGTGGGTCATTGCTGCTGCCACAGGCCTAAACCACCTTGGGTTTTGTTGTTGTTTTGTTTTATGCCAATTTCAGGATTTGAACTTAGGGCCTCATACTGGCTAAGCTTGCTTGCTCAGCTCATTCTCTGCCACTTGAGTCATACCTCCAGCCTAGCTTTTGCTGTCTATTTTTTAGATGGAATCTCTTTTCTGCCTGGCCTGGCTTGGAACCATGAAACTTTGGTCCTCTGTATCTCATCTCCCCCCATCCTCCTCCCCCCACCACCCTGAGTAGCTAGGATAACAGGCATGAGCCATCGTGCCCAACTGATTCTATCTCTAATACTTCAGTTTTAAATTGCAATTGATAAATTTTCAGTTGATGAATCACAATTATGTGTCCCATGGAAGACACTGTAATGTTTGATCTTTGTATGCAATGTGGAATGATCACAACTAGCAACTTAGCCTGTCACCTCACGTGTCTATCATTTCCTTATGGTATTTTGAAATATACAATACATTGTTATGGATTGTGATCGCACCAGTGGAGAATGGTTCACAGGTTTGCCGCCTGTCTGTAGGAATCCTCACCTCCCCAGGGTCTCCGTCCTCACCCCTTCCCCCAGTCTCTGTGACCATGGGTCATATCAGTGAACTTTAGAATGTGCATGTAAGTGAGGTCGAGGGATGCTTGTTGTGTTGTGCTGGCTTTGTCTCCTCAGCACAGCATCCTGAGGGCCCACCCACATGTCTACATATGAGAGGATTTCCTTCTTGTCAGAGTTGGGACGAGGGCCACATGTGTCCTTTATATCCATTCATCTGTTGATGAACATGTAGGTTGATGCCTTCTCTTGGCTGTTGTGAATGATGCACAGTGAACGTGGGAGTGCTAATACTCCTCCCACACATTGATTTTAATTCTGCTGGATGTATTCCTAGTAATAGGCTTGTCAGATCGTGCAGTAGTTCTATTTTCAGTTGTCTGAGGAATTTCCATACCATTCTCCATCATGGCTGTGTTGATTTAGCACAGCACGAGCAGCATAACAAAAGTCTCTTCTCTGCACATCCTTGCCAACCCTGGCATGAATGAGGCCTAACAGGTGTCAGATGACATCACTGGTTTTTATTTACATGGCCTTGGTCAGGGATGCTGAGGATTGTTTCACATACGCTGTTGGCAATTTGTGCATCATCTTTTGAAAACTGGACCCATGGCATCTACCAGCTCATTGGCCTTTGAAAGTTTTTCTTGGTTTTAACTGGTCAAATACATTGGTTCAGGTACAATTCAGAGGGGTAAGGATGTAAGCATAAGTAATGACATTTGTGAGTCCTGGAAGTTGCTTTTATTTAGTGCCATTGCAATCGATTTATTAGCCCTCTTGAGCACAAAACATTCTAAATCCTAAACATTGTTTAGTAAACCTAGCTCATTAATTTGGTTCCCATGTAAATTTACTAATTCTCTACGCCTTTGGCGGGGAAGCATTGCCGAGCTATGCAGCATAGGAGAAATGGATGATCTGTGATCATTTTGGGGAGGGAGCCATAAGAGAGGCAGCCATGCGTGCGTCTGCATCAGTGAGACTGGAGTAGCTGTTGAAGATTTGGATAGCACCCATGCTTGAGTCCTAGCAAAGGGGTTTTCAGACATGCAGAGCAGGCTTAGCTGAGTCACCCAAAGGACTAAGGGCTCTGCCCCAGGTGTGGAAGCCTGGGTGCAGAGTGAGGCTGCGCAGAGACCCCGGTCTGTGCACATGCTGAGGGCAACAGGACAGAGAAGGAAACGGGAGACTGCCCAGGTCTCCCTGGCTCCCTGGCCTTCCTGGCTCTCTGTTCCAACTAGTGTAGGTGCCAGCTGGCTGCAGGGAGCTGCTATGGTGTGGGTCACTGTTCATAAGCAAGAGTCTCTCTCTCTCTCTCTCTCTCTCCCTCCCCTTCTCTCTCTCTCCTTCTCTCTCTCTCTCTCTCTCTCTCTCTCTCTCTCTCTCATACACAGAACAGCTGATATCTGCATATCATATTTATTTACTCCAGGGCACATGCGCATTAATGTACAGGTTTAGATGTCCCTGAATATACCTGTGAGTTTATTCTTAAATACACATGTTGGGTATTCATGTACATGAGTGGAAGGATACATTCCTTTGTGTGTATGCATAGTGCATGTGCTGGGGTTGTTAAGCATATGTCTGCGTGTGTGTGTGTGTGTGTGTGTGTGTGTGTGTGTGTGTGTGTGTGTGTGTGTGTGTTGAGAATAATAGGTAAGATCTGGCAAAACATTGGTAATTGTGGTGGTAGGCACATGGATTTTTTTCTATTTTGAAACTTTACATTATACATAGAGTTTTAAAAATACATAGATTGATCAACTTGTCTTAGTACTGATAAGGAGAATTTCTTTGGCCAAGTTCCAGCTCTACCTAGAACATTACCACTCTCATCTTGAAACTTACCTGTCTGTAGTGTGTGGTGGGTTAGTCGTACATTTAAGGTTCATTTGCCTTTTACGTCTTCCGTTGTGATCTTAGACCATCTCCTATGAGCACACAAGCTGGGGCACCAGCCATGTGAGCAGGCAGGGGACCCGGTAAGATTGGCAGGGATTGGATAAGCCATTGTGTGGCAGGTACAAATCCAACAGGAGTTCGTGGAGGTGACTTTCCATGAGTGGCACCTCATTTGCTAGAAAGAGAACTGTTGAGTGAGTGAGTGGTGCTTTCTGACAGAGGCTGGGTCGTTGCTACCTGGGCTCGTCTAATGTGGTAACTTAAATTACTTCCAGAGAGACTGTACACAGGGAGAACTTTCTAGAAAGTGGCATAATCAACCCTTTAGCTATTGGAGAAAGAGTGAAAGTTGAGAAAAAATGCTTGAATTCAGATTTCGTGTAGCTTTTCTTTCACAGAGAACAGTGGCTCTTAAAGGAGAGTTTGTGGTCGAGGAATCGATCGTCTGTCACGGGCATGACTCCACGCCCCTCTGAGCGTGCTCTGTGTCACCCATTGCCTGCCAGACTTTCTTACCGTGCTTACTGCTCTGGGAAAGGCACGTGGTAGGGATGGCAAGGTCGGAATGTGCATCCTGGGAGCTCGCTTCATTCACACGCATCCTGAGCATTGGCCACCCTTTCCCTGGCCAGGCCCTGTTTTCAGCCAGCTGGAGTCAGTGCTGCCTTTCCAGGAATGTGGCCGGCCTCTGGCACTGGGGAAGCCATTGCTGCTGGCATGGAGGCATCCAGTCCTCAGGGTCATGAGCCGGTGCTCCCCTTTGCTCCCTGGGCTTCCGTGGCTCATCCCACTTCCTTTTGTGGGCCTTGTATGTGGGTTGAGAGGACTGGGGGGACGGGGTGGGGGCACTGGCACAGAGGTCTCAGGAAGAGCCGGGGGATGGTAAAGGACTCTCGAGGAAGAGAAGGAATATGTGATCCCCAAGCTTTATTGATAATGACTGTAGGGCTTCCCTGTCTCTCCTGCCACCTCGTGGTTTCTAATGCTTACTTAAATTATCTTTTTATATACATGTGTGGATATTAAGAAGGCAAAGTTCAGGGGCAGCTGGACCTGGGTTTTGTGGGGGAGGACTTGTCATGCTCTGGTCCTTGTCCTTGCGGCGGCTGCTGACCCTGTGGTGTCTCTGACCCCAGCCGCCCCCTGTGTAGACGCAGCCAGGGCTGGGCATCCAGACTCAGCATGACACTTAGAGCTGGGTTCCTGCTGCCAAAATGCACATCATACCACCTGTCTGCCTCACCTCTGTGAACAGCTTCCATTGTTAATGCCATCATCAAACTCACTTTACACTGGTTGATCTTGATTTGTACTGTTAGTGAGGAAAGCATTGTGCACGTGCGTGTGCGCGTGCGCACACACACACACACACACACACACACACACACACACACACACAGACAAAATCCCCATACTGGGACTGTGTCCACCGCTCCCAACCTCTTCTCTCCTTTTAGGGTGATGTCCAGGTGCACATTGGCTTATTGGCTGTGGCTCTGTCAGATTTAAGTGTTATCATAAGAGAGGTACAGATGACACACTTTAAAGATTCAGCTTTGACATCTTCTTGCTGCTTCATTTCCCGGGTGGGCACACCACCCTGCTGTGGAGTTTCCTGTGGACAGGGCAGGCGCTCTGGGCTTGCGACTCCCGGGACTCCTTCACTTCATTGTGATTCCTTTATCTCAGGAGGGGATAAAGCCCCCTCGAGGGCTTCCATTTTATTTCCCGAATCAACTGTCCAACAGCCACGCTGCTGTGACTGGTGGGACTAAAGAAACCGAATTGAGCTGGCTCCGCTGCTCCTTTGTCTTCCTGCGTGCTGCTGAGCCCAAGTGGCAATAAAGTTGGTCAGGGAAGCAGCTCCCGGGACCACTGCAGCTGTAGACAGCCCCGCCTGCAGTGCCCGCTCAGATGTGACTTTCCAGAATCAGTGCTGAGCCCTCCTGGGCTCTGCCCAGTGAGTCCCAAGGCAGGGGTATCACCTGCATCTCCATGGGAAGAGAATTACAAAGTTAGACATGCAGTGTGACTGTAATAGATACAAAGTGTTTCCTTAGGTCCTTTCCCTTTTCCACAGTAAGTCAGCCTTTCCATCCTAGTCTGGTAGACTTGGCTGAAAGTGTAATGGCAGACTTAATGAGACGGTCGCTGATCGCTCCTCAGCACAAGCCAAGTTGTGCATGGCTATTCTTTTACTGCCATCTTACAAGTGAGGGAGCAAGCTACCGAACCCGTTCAAGGCCACCCAGCCTGTGAGCAGCAAGGATGGGGATTGATCCCAGTGCTTCGGACCAAGCCTAGGCATGAGTCCAGTTATTCTGGATGAAAGAAAGGACTCAGGGAGGGGCAGCACCCAGGCCCAGAGTTCAAGCCCAAGACCAGCAAAAACAAACAAAAATACAGTCAGGGCCATGGGCCTCCTATTCCACACAGTGAAACCCCGACCTCCTGTGACTGCATCTGGAGATGGCCGTTAAGGAAGTAATGAATATTAAATCAGGTCTTCCCTGAGACCTAAGGTGGTACAGTGGTTTGTGTCAGGAATAGAGCTGTATTTTGGATCCTTAACTCCCTCCCCCCTCTCCCCTTCCCTTCTCTCTCTCCCCCTTTCCTCTCTCCCTCTCTCAGGACGCAGGGAGCCAACAGATAGGTTTCTTGCTTGGAAGCTGTGGTGTTACTGTAGCCTTGACCAGTGATGCATGCCACAAAGGCCTTCCGAAGAGCCCAACGGGAGAGATCCCACAGTTCAAAGGTAGGCTCAGCAGGGGTGGAGCTCCTCCTTTTCCACTCCAGGGCATGGCTTGCCTCTGGTGTCACCGTCTCTGTGAACGCACAGCTCCTCAGCCTGAGTGATGGGTTTATCTGATGCGGGCTTGAGTGCTTGGTCCCCATGATGTCTTCGATTTGATGACACAGGAAGCACTGGAGATGGTGCCATCTGGCCTGGGCATTATTTGAAAGCACACCACATAAACAGAGAGGAGGAGCCCTTCTTACTTAATAGGAATTTATCATTTCTTTCCAAGGCTGGCCAAAGCTGCTGTGGTTTGTCACAGAGTCCAAACACCTCTCTAAACCGCCTCGGGACTGGTTCCCACACATCAAAGACGCAAATAATGACACTGCGTATATCGAGGTGAGCCACATGCGGCCTTCCGTGGCGTCTGGTGCGTGCTGGGGGTGGGTGCTGGGCTCCAATCTTTAGACCAGCTCCAGAAGTGGGAGACTCAAAGCATCTCACAGAGAAACTGGTGGGGACCAGGGCTTTGTCTCTGGAAACCACCTTCCCGCACGACTTTTGTCTCATTTCCTTCAGTACAAGACGTGTAAGGACGGGAGCGTGCTTGGCGTGACAGTGACGAGGATTGCGCTGCTCACTCACTGCCAGGCGCTCACGCAGGCGTGCGGCTACACGGAAGGTAATACTCCCATCCAGACAATGGGGCGCCGGCCTCTGCGAGGTCTCGGCTAGCTGGCGATGCTGGGATTTGGGGTGGAGATCCAGCCCGTATTGTTCCCACCACTTACTGGGAAATCAGTGTGAGCTTTGTGCCCAGCTCCATGCACGGATGACTTTCTGGACAGTTCTGTGAGGGTCTTAGCTTGGGTAGCATCACCAAGGGCTGCACATTAATCCGGCTTAAAGGGCAGGTGCAGGGCCGAGGCGGGACACCCAGCGTCAGTGCTGGCTGGGAGGGTTCGTGGTGAGGTTTCTTCCGGGTTTGTAGATGGAGCATGTGTATCCTCACGTGGCCCTTTCTCTGTGTGGAGCTAAGAAAGAGATCGCTCACCCTCATACAAGGACGCCAGTCAGTGCTCCACTCTGCAACCTGATTTAATATTCATTATTTCCTTAACGGCCATCTCCAGATGCAGTCACAGGAGGTCAGGGTTTCACTATGTGGAGCAGGAGGCCCATGGCTCAGTCTGGAATGGTTCAGGGTATTCATCCCTGGCTCTACATTAATGTACCTTTTTTTTTTTTCTTTTTTCTGGTCTTGAGGCTCGAACTCTGGGCCTGGGGTGCTGTCCCTGAGCTTCTTTTTGCTCAAGGAGAACACTCTGTCACTTGAGTCACAGCACCACTTCCAGCTTTTTTGAGTAGTTTATTAGATAAGAGTCTCACAAAGTTTCCTACCCAGGCTGACTTCGAACCATGCTCCTAATATCTCAGCCTCCTGAGTAGCTAGGATTACAGGTGTGAGCCACGGGCTCTTGTGGAATATATCTTTTAAAGCTTTAAAAGCCTCATTGTCAGGCACCAGTTGCTCACCCTATAATCCTCTCTACTCAGGAATCTGAGATCTGAGGAATATGGTTCAAAGCTAGCCCTGGGACACAAATCTATGAGACCCTTATCTCTAATTAACCATCAAAAAGCTAGAAGTGGAGGATAGCATACCAGTCTTGAATAAAAAAGCCAAGCAAGAGCATGAGGCTGTGTTTAAGCCCTAGTACAAGCACAAACATGCACACACACTAACTAAATAACGAAGTGCTCATGCTTTCACCCACCTTCACCAATTGAATGAGAAGCTCTGCGGGCAGATTTTTCTAAGGTGGCAGAGCATAGACTCCACAGTGGGGAGCAGCTGCACAGTATATGTTTCTTCCCCTTAATTGGAGTGGATATGGGAAGCACGGAAGTAACCATGGTAACAGCTCTATAAACTGGACCTAGAGAAGGAAGGACTAGCACAGATCCCTCTGTGACCTTCTGACTTGTCACCTCTCACTCCTATACAGAGGCATGGCCACAGAAGACAGACAGGCACACATACACACACACATACACACACACATACACACACTCTCTTCTTGTGACTTGAAGGGACACAGCCACAGTAGATACACACACACACACACACACACACACACACACACACACACACACACACACACACACACACACACACACACACACACACACACACACACACACACACACACACACACACACACACACACACACACGGTCCCTCGGTCTCCTACTGCAACCTGAAGATGCTGTTAGGAATACTCATCTATCCACTTGAGAATGAGATGTTTTGCTTTTCTTTTCCCCACTGTTTGCCTTCTTTCCTCTTCACTCTGATAATCACTATTCTGTCTTAAAAATTCTAAGGAATCTAGCATGTTTTCTTTGAGCATATTTGTTTTCAGAGTCCCTGGGGCTGGACCTTCCATGTTTTAGCATCAGAGAGGAGAGCAGGGACTTAAACTGATCCCTTGGCAAACATCAAAAGAGGGAACAGGTGAGAGTGTAAGATGTGATAGCCACCAACAGCAGTGAGTGGCGGTCAGGGAGTGTGTGCAAGCGCCTCAAGCTCTTGTTCACCTGGTGGGCAGGTGAGACTTCAGGGGACATCCAGCATCTTTAGCAGATGGCTTCACCCACAGTTTTTCATCATTGTTTTACTTCATCCCTTCCCATAATCCTTGAATCCTCCTTCACTCCTGTCTAGGCTATTTTCACCTCTATTTCGCACAGTGGAGAAATGGGAAGACAAAAAGAGATGGGGGAAATAAATACTTAAGAGAAGAGATAGGTGTTTGTAAGTGGTGTGCAGGCAGCGTTGCTCACTCACATGCCTGGATATCTACCTAGAGAAACTCTACAGGCCTCGCCAGCACTTCCTCCTGCAGCCAGGAGAGTCTGCTGGATTCTTGTGAGGCTATAGCCTTGCCAGGACGCCCTGTAACCCCCTTGCCTGCTCCCACGAGGCTCTTCTCTGCAGCCAAGCCCGTGTTGTCATGACATCGGGAAACACTCTTGTAATTCTTCTCACGCAGCTGAAACCATCGTGAACGTGCTGGACTTCAAGAAGGATGTGGGGCTGTGGCACGGCATCCTGACGGTAAGTGGCCCGTTGGGCCACGTTGTCTTGTCGCATGCATGAGCTGGGTTCACGTTGCACCGTGTGCATGCACCAGCCCCCGCAGGTCTCATCTTCCTGTAGCACGAAGGGAGAGGTGTTGTGGGTAGCCAGCGCTGTCTTTGCGGGTAGCTCAGCAGCTATTGTCCTGAATCCTAGGCCCAGATGTTGAGCTTCAAGAAGGTAGTTTCTTAGGCTGAAATTCCACTGATTTTCTAGAGTATTCCAGTAAGTTTTACGTGAGTGACGGAAATCTACATGCAGAAAGTCGCATTGTTGTTTGTTGGTAAGGCAGACTTTATATGGACAAGAAGATGTAATTGTCTCCTACTCTATGTGTGACTCCCCAAACATGGCTCATTTCTAACACCTAGACACCCTTTGCTGCTGTGGTGCAGAAATACACTTCTCAATGCTGCCATGGTGCTTGTGTGAGGGGAAGGGCCTTGGGGCTATGTGCACAACAAATGCCTGTTGCTGGTCAGGTGGCAGTGACGGTCCTGTGTGGTGTGCTTGGCATGAGAACCGTGTGGCCCGGTGTCCAGTAGGTTCCTCTTACCCACCTATGTACTGGACACGTTTGGCCATATTACCAAGTCATATAGACACTCAGTGATTGCTACTACTGCTAGAGTTGTTGCCATTAGGAGGATGTGCTGTGGTTAAGACCACCCCTGCTGCTGCTGCTGCTGCTGCTGCTCTCCAGCCCTCCATAACAGTCACTCCCCCACCGGGGTAGCTCCTTTGTCCATGGTGTCACCTTGCTGGTCGATCTGGACCCTGGCCCGGAGGAGTTGACCATCTGTGAGTCGGCTTCACTGCCCCTTCCAAAGCCAGGTGGCTCTGCGACCACATGACAGCACCCACTCCGCCTCCGCCTGGAGGTGCTGTTAGCTCCTCTTCCCTGGTGCCAAGCGGGAGGGAGCAGCCCCAACACGTGGAGTGTACGTGCATGGCTGAGACCTCATGCCTGGCTGGCACACATTGTCCTTCCGTTTTCACTTGAACATCCTCCAAGGAAGCAATCAACCTACAGAATGCTCTGGGCTCTCTTCTGTGCCAGCCCACAGGAGTGTGGGGAAATGGTAGCACCGTGCAAAGCCAGCCCCTGGCCACCTGACGTCATGACCCCACAGCGTGTGCAGCAGCGGGTCCTGTGGAGGTTCCTGGCGGCGTGGCCATGCTGGCCTCCCTGGTGTGTTAGCTCAGGCTAGTCAGCCATTTCAAGGGAGCTTCTTTCTGACAGGTCCAGAAAACAAACTTTCCATTTCCACTCCTTGATGTTTCAGGGTAACATTTAACTAGTAAAATTAACTCTGTGAAATAAAAATTGTTACAATATACTAGAAATGGATCTTCAAAGATCTGAAAGGCTATTAAAATGAGTATTCGGTGAGGTTTTTATTTACAGTCGACACGTAATTATACACATTTACATAGTACAGCGTGGCATTTCAGCACATGTATGAAGTATAAATATCAGATGAAGACAAATGGCATATCTGTCACTCTCAGGCGTATAACCTTTCTCTGTATTAGAAACATTCAGAATCCTCTCTGCTAGCTGTTTTGAAATACTCAATTTCTGTCAGCCATTGTTACCCCTGCTACAGAGCACCCTGTTCCCATTAACCATCTTCCCAGCAAGGGGTAAACACTACTCTCTTCTCTACTTCCTTGAGATCAATGTTTTATATGAGAGAATACAAACAGTATTTGTCCTTGAGTGCATGGCTTATTTCACTTAGCACAGTACTTAGTTCATTGGAGATGAGAATCTCATGGACTTTCCTGTGCCTGGATTGGCTTTGAACAGCGATCCCCAGATCTCAGCCTTCTGAATAGCTAGGATTGAGCCAGTGCCCAGCTTATTTTCTGTATTTTTGATGGATCCCTATATCATTTTCCATAACTTCTGTAGTAATGTATGTTTCCCCTTTCTCTGCATTTCTTTTTTATTTTCTTTTTTTGGTAATAGCTGTTCTAACTGGGGTGAGATGATAACTGAGTGTGAAGTTGATTTATATTTCCCTGATTAGTTGAGTAGAGACTTCTTGATTCATACACTTGGGGCTTATATATCATCTTTTGAGAAATCTCTGTTGAGGTCATTTCAGTTAGCTTACAGTTTTATTAAGGAAAGGATTTATGTTGAAAATGAATTTTACAACTTCGGGGAGAGGGAGGAGTTGGTGAGGTCGGGAGGGAAGGGATGGTAGGGGAAAAACAAAGGGGGGTAGCAATGCACGATAGGAAATTTACTCATTACCTTACTCATGTAACTATAATCCCTCTGTACAATATCATTATGATAACAATATATATATTAAAAATTGAAAGAAAAGGGTTTGAACTTAAATTCTTTGAGTCTGTCTTGAGTAGTTGAGGAAAAGCAGAAGCAGAGAGGATGGAGTAGCCATGGAGATGTCACTCCTTGTAAAGGATTATACTAAGGTGCACGCCTTATAGTGTGTGCAGGTGTGCACACATGTATAGGTCACGCTTAGCGAAGTAAAGCCCTCCTGTCTGATTCTTCTGCCTGTTGAGCCTCCTTGTAAATGTGTTAACCTGCTAGTGAGGCGGAAGCTTTCTCCTCTGTGAAACCCCCACTGCGTAACCTCTCGCCTGTCCCTTGGTTTCAGAGTGTCATGAACATGATGCACGTCATTAGCATCCCATACTCGCTGATGAAGGTGAACCCCCTCTCCTGGATCCAGAAGGTCTGCCAGTACAAAGGTTGGTCTACACTTGACCCCATGGGTGTTTTGGTGACAAAGATGAATCACCGCTCTCCTGCTCTCTTTTTTTTCAGTATAAGCCAGTGTGATGTGATGGTGACGTGTGGTAACCTCTGCTTTTTTTCGTAGCAAAAGTGGCTTGTGTGAAATCGAGAGATATGCACTGGGCATTGGTGGCCCACAGAGATCAAAGAGACGTCAACCTGTCCTCCCTCCGCATGTTGATAGTGGCTGATGGAGCCAATCCCTGTAAGTGAGGAGGGGAGGGAAGCCATACAGATCCCTGGCTCCCATCTTTGTCTCACAGCTGAGATGATGTCTTAATTAATCAGGGTTTCTGGCTGTAGCCCAAAAGCAGAATGGTTAAGAACAACATGTGTGAAGGTAGACAAACATGGGGTTAGTCTGGGGTAGAAGGGAAAATCCAGGGGTTTTAAAGGAAAAATCCTGGTTCTATAGAAGAAGAAAAAGCACACACACAACTTGCTCTTTAAATTATATTTTCTCAGCTGCAAAATGACCTCCAAATCTAAAGTTCTTTGAGGTTTAAGTGAGATATTCCTTAAATGTAGTGCCTGCGCACTCCAGAAATGCTAACGGTATCTTAAGGTCTGTAGGTGTTGTGTCCGTCAGTAGACGCATTCATTATCAAATCCAGTAACCAAAACCTCCCAGATGAAGTAAATTAGCACTTTTACAGAACATTATTAGTGCACCTTTTTCATAAAAACAAGCACCTAGATATTGTGTTTTTGTGAAGAATACATAATGTGAAAAGCCACCTTGAATTGAATGAAATTGTTTCTGATCATTTTGATAAAATGCATGTCCTATATTTTTGAACAAGTGCAACACTGTATTAGTTCCTGGTGGATCAAAGTGGTCAAATAAACTGATAATTTAATTTTATAAATAAATGATTCTTTTAATTACGAAGTAATAGATATTCTGTGAGCTAACTAAGTAATTATTTTAAGTCCATAATACTACAGAACAATAGATTTTGCATAATGCAAAGTAAATCTGCTTTTGGAAATAGGTAATTTAACATATTCTTAGTAATCTTATCTCAGTCTCATGTTAATATGGAGAAAAGTTTTCACTTAACTAACTGTGGATTTATGCATTTCTTGGAACTCACATATGGAAAATAGCAAAGCAAGTTTTAGAAAAGTTATTAAAGTGAACACATCAGTCCACAAAAATATGGAAGATGTGGGTTTTTTTACATTGTTGACCTCTGTAAGTTTGAGAATTGTGTCTTCCATTCAAACCTTAAAGGCTAAGTTGTATTAAATGGATTATTTCTCCTTGCTGCCTAACTTTTTTTGTGCCTAAATCCTGACTTCAAAGCTATTTGATTCTGCAGGATGTTTTTACGCCACTCACAGTGTGCCCCTGGCTGACCATCGCCCCTCTCTTCCTCCAGGGTCTATTTCTTCTTGTGATGCGTTTCTCAATGTCTTCCAAAGTAAAGGCCTTCGGCAGGAGGTCATCTGTCCCTGTGCCAGCTCGCCAGAGGCTCTTACTGTGGCCATCCGGAGGTACTGGGTGACATCAGTTCAAGTCAACAGCATAGAGAGTGTCCTGGTTATTAAGCATGCCCCAGAGGCTTGGAGATCACAGCAGTTAATGCTCAGTGTGAGAAAAAGCACAGGGCCTAACCTTTTCAAGATGAGTTCATTTCTCTCTTAGAAACTGAACTGGATTCTTTTGAATCACCTGTCTAGATTGATTAGTTAGAAAACCATTTCTCATTCACTTCCGCTTCATCCCAACTTCTCAGTTAGTGGAACTCTATGTAGGATTGTGTCAAATCAGAGCTATCTGGCATTGATGCGTTACTCAGATTTTTATTGGCATGTGTCAGTTTCTGGTTTAATGGGGTAGGGGTGGGGGATAAATGTTGGATGAATGAGATGTTTGCAGCTGGGCGTGTGCTGCAACATGTACTACTCTTGTTGTTGCTCTCCACCTCAGGAGGGTCACACTTAAACAATCCTGGTTTTCTGAGCCTTTGAGCTACATGGTGGAACGTGAAGGGCTCTCTGGCCTACGGTGACTAGATAGCCCACAGCCTGAGCAGTGGGTTCCTAGAGAGCTCTCTCTGGACTTAGCAGTACCCTCCAGAGTCCTTGGTCGTAGGTCACTCTAGCCTTCTTCAGAACAACACAGTGCCTGGGAGGGAAGTGGTTATAAAGATGTAACATGTATCCTATCAGAATGAGAAGATGGAAAGTGTTCAGCATAGTAAATAGTCCTTGGTCACCACTATTAGAGTTGGGTATCACTCATCCATCTACTCTGAGTTATCAATACTAATGTGAGAAAAGAGAGTTAGCATTATGTAGGTGCTTAAAACTTACTTTTCAGTGTTTTTGTGTTCCATCTCTAAATAGATTTTCTTTCGTACATAGCACAGTTGTACTCTTACAAGAATGGATGACACAGATAATGCAATGTAGATAACAGTTCTACTCTATGTTACTAAAAGATTAGGTTTTCCAAAATTAGCTCACTGGGAGAGGTTAAGAAAACTTATGATGCTTTTAGGTGTTTATTATTCTGTTATTAGCTAGATTTCATGACTTGAGAAATTGAAAGCCTTTACTGTATCAGAAGCAACTTTAATCTTGGCTAAATCAGAAATTAGGGTTATCATAATGTTTAAATAGATGGTGGAACATGGTGTCATGGGCTAGAATAATTTTTAGAAAGATTCCACATGTAGGTATTCTGTGAAGAACCTTTAACTTTAGAGTACAGAACACACTTAGATTGTGTAATGGAGCACATTTCTCTATCCTACAGTTATATTGCTCCAAGATCGCTTTTTAAATGTCTGCCTAGTTTGTATACTGAGAGTAGTTACCAAGAAGATTGAGCTGGGGTGGGGATCAGAGGCCAGGAGTCAAGGTTGGAGTCCAGTCTGGTCAGTAGTTGGCCACACGATCCTGGACAAGGTACTTGCACCATGGCTTCAGTTTTACACACACACACACACACACACACACACACACACACACACACACACACACACACACACACACACACACACACACACACACACACACACACCAATTTGGCCGGATGTCAGTGGCTAGTGCTCACTGGGTGTCATCACCATAAGAAGTAGCTGAAAACAGTGCCTATGGAAATTCCCATAGACTCCTTGGAAAAGGAGAAAATAACATGAATGTAATACAGAAATCTGATGAGACTAAATGGATGGTAGAACAGGTTTATCTTCTTGCAAGGAAGCAGGAGATCATCATTTCTCGCAAGTCCTTCTCCCACCCCCTTCCCTCCCCCTCCCCCCAGTAGAAGTAGAGCAGATTAGCTGAAATCCTGCATTCAGTGAGCGGGCATGCAGTGGTTAGGAAGTGATTGGTCTAGTCAGCTTCTCTATGGGTTCTGTTACCTGATGGTCTCCATGGATGGGACATGAGAAATTTTTTGAAAAATCAATCCCTGAATGAAAGACTGGGACAGAATTGCTTCCATTAAAAACCCAAGCAATGATTTTGCTTCACTGTTTTTCCTGTTTGGACTTTTTTTTTTCTGCGACAATAGGATGAGGACAGTGAAGTAGCAGTCTCATGGAGACCACCCTCCTGGGTTCTTTGAAGATTCTCTCTCCCATTCCCTTTCCAGGTTTCCAAGGAAACCATGCCTGTGGCTGAAGTCTTCCCCTCCTTAGCTGCTTGGTTGTGCGGAGAGGACCACATTGCTGGGCAGGACCACCTCAGTCCTGGGGGAGCCTCCCCTAGAGTCCTGATCCCTTGTCCACAACCCCTTCACATTTTCCCTGATAGATCCAGGGAGACAATAATGACTGGGGTGGAGCATCGATGCCCAGGTAGCACACAAGACCCCTGGCTGCCATAACACAGGGAAATAGAAGAAGGAGTGTTTCCATTGGGCTAATCCTGTGAATCAGACGACTAAAACCATTCCCCCTTCATCCTCAGCAGATGTCTGCATTCACACCCATGTGGCACTCTTCCCGTCTTTGACTGGAACCATGGATAAAGCATGACCTTTGTTGTGTTTTGAACATGTTCCTTAAGGCCTCTCCTGTGCTCCTACACACACACACACACACACACACACACACACAGCCCTTTCTGTTTTCCAGCTTGTTTCTTAATTTGATGTCACCTTTTCATTCGTTCACCAAATGCTTTTTTAAGTGCCTGCTGTTTTTCTGACAGTTATTCTGTGAGCCTCTTTCCACAGTCTCATAGTAAGTGAAGACCTCATTAGCAACCCAGCAACCAAGTGCAAAGATTATTTTATATGGCAGTAAAATGTTCCCTTTGATTTCACTGAGCTTGAAGAACAGTTTGTCCCTGCAGTCACAGAGTGACAAAACCTCCTTTGGGGGCTGTTGAGCGGCTATGGCAGAAACCCACTCGGGCCAGCTGCTGCCCCACTCCATAAGCCAGGTTCCCTACCTGAAAGCAAGCCGGGGAGTCTCACGTCCAGAATAAACTGGGAAAGGATTTTCTTTCCTCGTGTTGTTGATGGATAGGAAAAATAATGATGTGATATGTAACTCACACAATCAAAAGGTGTGACAATAACTTGAAGAAATTATTTCCTTCAGATTTGCCAACTCTGTGCTCTGTGACCCATGCTGTAGCGCCTGGTTTTCAAAGCTCAATCAAAAGGTCTGATCTTGTTGATTTATTTGGATTTTTAAAAACATCAAGATCCTTTTCCTTCCATGGGGCATTGAAGGCTCTCCCTGGCATGATTTTCCTTCATCTTCCTCCTCTGTCTCTACTCCAGCCGCTCTTCATACTCTTTTAAAGATCAAAATGAATACCCAGCGACCATTCACAGTATGTAAGGATGTGGGCCTAACCAGACTTAAACTGGCATCCAACAGTGTGTCACACAGCTTATATCTGTGTGCCATAGTCACTAGGTCCTGTGTGTGTCGTGGCATACTGGGGAGCTGTATTGTTAATGTGACCCCCTTCCACGTTTCCCTGGCATAGAATAAGGAAGAAGAATGAAAATATGTAGGAAAAAGAGCATCGGTTTTCATTCTAAGCCATGTTATCCTTCCTTACTGACGTCACGATTTTTACCAGACGGCAGTGATTTCCAGGAGATATTCATAAACAGCCTCAATCTAAAAAGTTCAAAATGTTGTAAAATGTGCAAGTTTCTGAACACCAACATGACACCATGAGTACAGAATTCCATGTGTGACCTCAGGTGACAGGTCACAACCAAAGCAGGGGCACACAGCCACTAGTAGTTGAGGCAATATCCCCAAGGGAAAAGGACTTCCCAGCCCCATCGGCATGGATATACCTTTTCCACGCACGCAGGTGTGCACGTATGGTTTCCCAGTCGAGCCTCCTTGGTGGTGATGACATAGCTCACATGCAGGCCAGAGCTGCCAGTGAAAGCTCCCCCACCGCTCCATAATGCCAAGTGAGTCACTTGCTGTGTGGTTCTGGGAGAAGCATCTATGTTTATCAAGCCACACTGTTGGAGGCAACAAGGCAGTGTGATACGTGTAAAGCACCTTGAAGTGGATAGTGTTAGAATGACTGTTGTGAAGAAACAGTCATGTGCTGTTGCACTTCTGTGCTGAAAGGTACAAACAGAGTTTATAAAAACTAAGCAAATTGTGTAAGATTCTGTCGGCCACTGGTGGCTCATGCCTGAAATCCTAGATCTGAGGATCACGGTTCAAAGCCAGACCAGGCAGGAAACTATATGAGACTCTTACCTCCAACAAACTACTCAAAAAAGCCAGAAGTAGCACTGTGGCTCAAGTGGTAAAGGAATAGCACTCAGGCTCAGAGTTCAAGCCCCAGGACCAGCAAAAAAAAAAGAAGAAGAAGAAGAAGATCCTGACTGTATTGAAAGTGCTAGTCCATCAGCATCACAGTGGACACATGCCATCAACCACACACTGATGCTAAGGGAAGAACCATCGCAACACACTGAAAATGGAAGGGAATTAGAAATATCCAACAGTCTGATTGTGCAAAGTTAAGAAAAGACAGAGAGAAGCTAGGTGCCTGAAATCCCAGCTAAGGGGAGGCTGGGACAGGAAGCTCACTTAGCATAGTTCAAGACCACTTGGGTGACACACTAAGATCCTGTCTTTAAAAGTGTAAAAGCATCACATGAAGTTTTTAAACACTTGTGATAAAATGTCTCATCCTACACAGTGGGAAAATTCATCAGTGAGTTTGCTATGGTCATTATTGATGAGAGTCTACTGCCAGAACAGGTTTGTAATGCTGACATCACCATGTGGGAATGACTGCTGTAGAAAGACACTGATTACAGTTGAGAAGACCCTCTCTACACAGCATGGGTATGCTGAGACTTGCTAAGGCACACCTAAGCGTGAATTTGATGAGAGGCAAAACCTTACATCCTTGCTGTTGCACCGTTGGGCTAACAAAACAAGAGTCACCAGGGCAATGTTCTGTAATTGGTTTTGTGCACATTTTATACTGGCAGCTTGTACCCACAGCAGGGGAGCTGGAGTGGATGACAGCCGTGAGGT